GAGAAAAATTCTACCTGTCCAAGATGAGCCCACCAAATGAAGCCCATGGAGCTTCATCCTCTGTAAATGGGCAGTCTTTTGCACATACTGTGAAACATCTATACAAAGATTAAACTATCTGTGCTCAGACACTATGTGGCTATATTACGCTTGTAATAGGTCATATTGCAATTTGGCTTTTGTTTTATTATTAAGAGGTGATTTTAGGTGTAAACTGCTGCTTTATAAGTGTGTTTAAATTTTGCTGAAGGTGTTCTGCTTGAAAGCTACAATAGTAGAGTAAGCTTTAATGCTTATGGGAATAAAAAGGTTACTAGATTCTTTCAAAGGTGAATAAAAAAAAGATTATTTGACCTCAAATATGATGAAAAACTCTTCTTTAATTTACTTTACAGAAAGTGCCCACTGTAGTTTGAATGTTTGGCACCTGGAATTTCAAAGTTGGCCTTCAAGATGGGTTGTGAAGGAGACCAAAAATCCAGGAAAATACTAACTGTTTCAGCTTTCTCTGGTTAGAAAGGATATTGGCCCTTGTTCCACACTGTTTTCTGTAATAGATTTCTGAGAATATACTCTTGGAGGGGACAGAGCGGGACATAGTAGTTCCCTCCTGCCTTTTAAAAATCATGGGTCTGTGTTTCTGGGGCAGTGGGTCTTCTGACTCCCTAAGCAGTGGGCACGAGGAACGGAAACATGTGTTCCTGACTCGCTCTGGGCTCTGCCAGGCGTAGGGGAAGCCTTAGGACTGAAGCAATTAGACGCAATCCAGCAGAAATCCCACTTTGATTGTAACAACAGAGCAGTTAACCCATAATTTACTTAAACCTTTGAGGTGTGGTTCCCAGTCATGGCCTAGGCACCTGTGACAAGCGGCTTACCCGTGTTGGGAGTTTGTAAGCAGTTGGTCAAAGTACCCAAAAGCTCAGAGTATGTCATAAGAAGATATATTGGTTTTCTTTCCATTTTTAAGAGATGACATAATCCATTTGTTTTCCCTCACACATGGAAGACAAGCTGAATGAGCAATAGCATCAGTCAGCTTCAGTAGTAGCTTGCAGAGGGGTACTGGAAAAGGTATTTGACTCTTTTTTTTTCTTCTCTCTCTTTTTTTTTTTTTTTTAAAATGTGGTTTTTGGTTTGCAGTAGTCTTGAGTAAAAGGTGCCTGACAGTCTGTGCAGATCTGATGTTTGAATTGTTCAGCGAAGATGGGGTTTGTAGAAGGCTGTTGTGTTGTCAAGACCCACTCTCTTGTCTTTGAAGCTAATATTTTACTGTGATTCTCTATAGCATTACTTGCATCCTCCTTGGTATCTTTAGTGGATAAGGATACTTCACACAAAATAGTGTTGTTTGTTTCACAGGCTTGATTTATTCACAGTGTAAGCACAGGAGGGTCCTGTGAGGAAGATAATATATTGAATTTTCATAGAGTGTTTCCAGAAGGAGCTTGGGTTAAAGTTATAGACAGCTTTTGGTGAAGCATTTCTAAACGGATTCTAAGAAGTTACTTTTCCTTGGACGTACTCTTCTAACATAATTTCCAAATAGGACTCAGAAGTCTGAGAAACAAATGAAACATATGAACCATATCTTTCTTTCCACAGCTCCATGATATCATTATTACTTGGTGTGTTAGTGCTGTGGGGGAGCAGAGCATCCTTATTTCTGGAGAATTTTTGTAGAATTTAGCTTTTAAAGACTTTAGAGACGGCAGTGCATCTCTGCAGAGGTGACTAGGAAGTTCTCATTGCCTCAGCAAATCCAGGCAGACTTTTACTGCAGAGTAAAAAGCTAATCTTGACCAAAGAACAAGGTCTCCTCTTCCAGATTTAAGCCCCAGCTCTAAAGCATGAAATAATTATTAGAGTTTCTCAACAAAATGCTTAAGATTATTATTATTATGATGACATAAGCAAATACATTTTTCATTTACGTCATTCACTCAAAGTGCTGCACTGTTTTCACTCAAACTGAAAATTCCTGGCAGCAAAATGAAATGGCAAGTTCGGACCAAGCAGCCTTGCATGGTAAGCAGGGCTAAAATTCATCTCTTCTTTCATGCTTTCAGTTGCTAATAATATTTTTTTTAAAAATTCCACCCTCACACGGTAACTTCTGCAAATGCTTACAGCAGTGGGGAGTTTCCCATTTCTGTGTGTACGGACCTGGCTCTGCTAGCTGTGGTCAGTCAGTTGTAGCTCAGCTCTGCAAGGCCTTTCTCTATCACGGTAAAGACACGCAGTGCTAGCTGAGTCTACTCTTGAGGAGTGATGTGTCCGGATGGGAATGCCTTGTTAGCCTAGACCTGGCGTGCTTATTTTTCAGGTCTTCTCAATGTTTATGATATTACAGATGATATTAAAATAAAGTTGAAGGGTTGTGTTTTACGCATGGTAAGAAATAGAACTCCTTTTGGGTGACTGAAAGATGACCGCTGCACTTCATCGGCTAGCTGTGGAAGTGAAGGTGGTCCTTGCCAAGAGGAGAGTGGACTATCTGTTGCTTTATGGATACAGTTAGTAAAGGAGCTGCATTGTTTTTCAAATAAGTGTCCAAAAAGAAACAACCACGAGGAAAAGCTGTCTGTCTAAATCCTGAAGGCACGTGTCTGCTCTTCGTTGAGTTGGCTTAGTTCATAGCCTTGAGGCTGACTGCTGAAGTAAAATTTACTTGATTTGTCAGAAAACTCTCTTTGGGTCCCCTGGGTGTTCTGGTTTATTTCCACAACAAAGGAAATACAGAGTCAGTGATCAAGGTGCGTGTTCTCATATGTTGTCCTCTGAGAGTATTTTACTGTTGGAAGACCCTGCTTGGCCACACGTGAAGAAATGAAGAATGATGAGAGCTAGAGATTGTAATGATTCCAAGCGTCTGCAGGAAATACTCAATTGCACTGTTATCACAAGTATGCATAGGCAGTTCTTAGGAAGCCTTGGTCGAGTTTTGGGGTTCCTTACGGTTTCAGCAGTTACGTTTTTATTGGTTAAATCTTTGACCTTCAGTGGTACCTCTATTGAAAATTTTAGAAATCTGAAGCAGAGAACTTAACATTGTGGTGTGGTAATGGTGTGGTCAGTACAGTACAACAGTCAAAAAACCAACAGAGTCCATGCTCCAGGGGATTTGTGCTCTAAAAATAGAGATGATACAGTTCACATACATAATGGATGATCAGAAGATGAATTTGCTGCTAAGCAATGTCGTTAGAATACTGATGCCTTTAATAGCATTTTTCATCTAGTGTTTAAAAAATAGTGGGCTTGATATGAAGCATTCTACTTCTATATTCTGTCAGTGGTTTAAAAGGTAGTTTGTAAAGCACTTACCTCAGATAAGGTTTGAGGAATACCCTTTCTGATAATTAAACCAGTCATTGCACTTCTCATTTATTGGATTATTTTTTCTTTCTGGAGTTTGGAACTGTGCCATGTTAGTGTTTCTCATAATCCTAGTTCTGAACCTGCAAAACAGAAAATGAAAATGCCTTTTAAGTGGCATAAATCATTTTACATTTTATTTTTCCACTCCTTGGAAAAAATGGATGCTTGCAGTCTTTATGCTTTCACTCTTGTCGTTCAGATTTTAATACAGGCCTGTTAGGTACCTAAGAAGTTTTACACAGAAGACAACAGTGAACAGTCTGGTCTGAACCAAAGCAGGTAACATGTCAGTAGTAGCCACGTCAGTAGCAAATAAGAGAGCCTTGAGTCTGTGGTTTTGAGTTCTCTTGGTCAGCTTGCTCTCCTGGCAGCCCACGTGAGATGTGGTTGTAGGACATAATGAAGTAACAGCGATGTTCCAGGTCACCAGCAGCCTATTTCAATACCTGCTTTTAGGATAGAGCCTTTTTTAATAATGTTTACTTGATGATTTCCAAGAACAGCTGAGAATTTTTGCAGTAGGCATAACCGGTCTGGTGCTGTCAAATTGAAAAGGGTACACAAAGATATTTGGCTCTGAGAGGTTTTATTACTCTTCTGGCTATAAAACTGAATTAGTAAGAAGAGAGTTGAACCTGCCACAGCTTATTGCAGGGATATTTTCCGTTTCATTTTATTGCCCTTTGAGGATTTGATTTCTCGTTATGATAATACAGTTAATTAGTTGTGATGTCTCCCTAACACCAAACCACAGTCACTGTTTTGCTTTTATGAATGTTAAATTGGTGCATGTAGCAGTGGAGAAAAAAAAAAAACACAAAAGATGCATATGCCCTTTATTTAAATTGTATGCACCTGTATTTGACAAACATTGACATTTAAGTGAGCTTTGAGATGAGTGATAATCATGTTTGCATGCTCGTAAAAAACTTAATCCTCTTGAGCCAAGAGTTGAATGTTATGGCTGGAGGTTTGTCACTGATGGCGATGGCGTGTTTCATTGTATAGGTTTGCTAAAGGATGCTGAGGCTGGATTGTGTCGCTGTGCCTGCATCGCTGGGGTTCAGGCACAGAGCAACACAGGTCTCCTGTTTCAGCAAAGGCAGCTGTTCATCTTTGATCTTGGAGATCCCGACCAGGAAAACTTCAAGTGGTTTTAATAAATGAACAAGTGCCTATACATCAATTTTGCCATGGCAACTGTTCGTAGCCCATGATGAATATGACAGTTTAAAGTAGCTAAACTGAGTGAAAGAAAAGGATACACTACCTTGTATCTAAGTTGGGGTAAAGCCTACAGACTGGCAAGTAAAATAAGCTGTTTGAAAGTGATATGGCGAGGAGTCTTAAATCAGGTGCAAGGCCTCCTTTCCCCTCTCCCTTGTTGCCTGTAACAGCCTTCTTCCTTCTGATTAGCCTTTAGGCATGGTTTTGAGTTAGCGTAAACTTCTTGTCATGCTGCACATGATACACTGAGTTAATAACCTAGGTAATTTCAAATTGACTTATTTGTGTGTTGGTACTCTTTAAAAAAAATTATTAAGGTATCCACATTGTTTCAGTGTAGATTAGCGCAACACTCATTCTCAAGCCACTCTTTTCCCTGGTGTTTCTTGCAGGTGTTCCGCAAGGATCTCATTAGTGCCATGAAACTACCAGATTCTCACCATGTCAACCCTGATGAATATTATATCTTTGCGGACACGTGGAAACAGGAATGGGAGAAAGGGGTTCAAGTTCCAGCCAGTCCAGAAACTATTCCACAGCCTTCTCTCAGGTAATGGTAATCAGACGCAGGTCATGTGCACAAAACATCAACTTAGAGAAGATGGTCTCTCAAAAATAGGTTGTCTAAATGCATTCAGCTTTTCTGTGTTATTATATTTAAATCTCTAATGCAGCAGCCCTCAGGAATGTTCTTAAACCAAACAAGTACCAATCTGGAAAACATTTCTGTGGCACTTCAGTCCAGATCTGGTTCTGTCTCTATACACTGTTACAGTATCTACATTGTGAGTTTAAACAGGGGATCTTTTTTCCTGAGTCACGCAGTGCTATGGATTAAAAACGGTTTTCTCATTTGCATATGGTGAGTTTAATAAATTAAAAATAAACCCAAATCTTATACATGTACTTGAAGGGCTTCCCTATAAAGCATAATGATATAGAGCAGTAGGCACGCAGTAGTTACTGATACCTGATAAAGGTGCTCTCTTGTTCATATAACTTAATTTTGGTTATTGTTGCCAAAGCTTTAACCCTTTCTGCCTTCTCTTGCCACAAATAGCGGCTTAACATTATAGAAGTTCAGTGATCTCAGTTTCAGGAGATAGATAAATAACCTTTTGTTCTCTCACACTGTGCTTAGACTAGGAAAACATAACACCGTAGTCCTGCAACCCTTCCTGGTGGAAACAGAGTGTGTTTCAACATAGAAATGTTATTGCCAGTGTGGTCTTTGAGACGAAGATAAATGAATTGTCCAGTGAAAGCGCTGATGCCAGCATAATTTAATTTCCACTGGGGCTATTGTCAGTACCAAGTTATTAAAAATAAATATATTGCATCTCATACCAGCAGTATTACATTAGAGGAAAAAATTGCTATAGATTTGGCTGGACCAGAGAAAAGAAAAGCTCACAAGGGAATGAGAGGAAAAAATGAGCAAGGTGAAGGGGGAGGAAGGATGGCAGAAAAACATTGTTTGTGCTAACATTGACAACCCACGTTGTCCCGTAAGAATTATGTGGGATATGGCTTGACTGCTACCTGCTCCTTCTTTACTCCTCTTGCCGTATTTCCCACAGCTTTTCTTTTCTCCTTGTCCTGTGGAGGGTTAGCTTCAGAAAGCATGCAGAGCTGCTCACTCATGGCACCGTTCCATTCAGTATCTCCCTGGCTTCCTTTCACATGCAGGGCCTCTTGCATTGAATTCAGAGAAAGATTGACTTTATCTAGCTAAGGTCAGTCTTCCCATTCCCATAGGCTAGTTTACTAATCAAATGCTGAGTTTTATCTCTTAAAATAATTGAAAGATTGAAAACACCAATATTTTTCTCCTTTGCTTCCTGGATGATTTTTAGCTGGTTTTTTCCCCCTTTATATTTTTGCTTGGCATCAGAATGGTTCTTACATAACAAAAATAATACATTTGTAACGTGGATAAAGTGTCATTTACAAAATAAGGGTAGACTGTTTATCCCAGATGAAGAGCAAGCATTTCTCCCCACACACACACACTGCAGTAGAATAAATCAAGCTTTCGTGACAAAGCTGGTATTTTCAAGAAATCAGTTGGCAGGATTTCCTTCTATCGTTTAAGAAGAATATAGAACAAAGATTGTAGGGGGGTTTGTGCATAATACTTTCTGTGGGTTTCAAAAACACTTGCAGCGTCGCACTAGTAGCATTTGTTAAATTGAAAATCATATGCACAGGCTTACATTTTAAAAAGGATTCTGTATATGTAGCAAACCTTAGCACATTTTGTGTGAAGAAATGACATTTACAGAATCCTTTCTCCCTAGCCTGGCTACACTTACTGGCTAGTTTAAAATCTGTGAAACACTCGCACTTACAGCAAATATTTCGTGTCTTTCAAAGATGGGTCTTATAAAGCTGTAACCCTCTCTTTCATTTTTTTACTTTCACTCTAGGGTTGTAGCAGAAAAGGTGAAAGAAGTACTGTATACACGACCCAGGAAATACATCCACTGTTCCAGCCAAGAGCCCACAGAACCAGGTTACATCAACATTTTGGAACTGGCAGAATCTGTGTGTCGCTATGACTTGGATGACATGGACATCTTTTGGCTTCAGGAGCTAAATGAAGAGCTTACAGAAATGGGTAATTTCACAACATGTTCTAATTTTAAAAGCAGCAGTTAATTTTTGCTGTTGTAGTCTGCTGTGTGAGATCTCTTAAAGATTGCTGAATGAGAATTGAATGGAAATGCTAAGAAAAACAAGAGGTAAAAGTGCTTAAAATAATGACTTGCTCGATCTGTTAATGTTTTATGTTTTACCTGTTGTGCCGAAAAACTTCTTCACATCCAAAATCATGTGCAACTTCTGCAGACTGAGGCAGGAGAGAAAAAGCCCACATTAGGTGGAATTAATTTTAGGACTTCAGAAGTTAAAAATTTTGTGTAGGAAAAGCAGATGTTTCCATTTCTTAAACTTGAACATATTATTGCTACAAATTCAGAGTTCTGAGGAGCTTGCATGCTGGGTTCTTAACAGAGTAATTAAGTTTCACACATGTTAGCCCATTTAAAATCAGCTAAGTAAACTTTCTTTTTTCCGTGCAAGTTGTGGGTATAGAGGGCTATGAGTGGGAGTGAGCTGTGGAAAATAATCTTGGAATTATCACTGGAATAACTGAGTTGTGGCGGAATAGCCTGTGTGGCTGGCAGTCTTCCATGGATGATTGCAGGTCCTTTAGGAAGGACAGGTGGGCAAAAGAGGGAGATATTTGGCATCTCCTGGGTTTGCTGTTCACAAACAAGGAAGAATCTGTAGGGATGTGATAATCGATGGCAGCATTGGCTGTAGTGGCTATGCAATAGTGGTGACTGAGATCCTGAGGGGAGTGAGGAAAGGAAGTAGCCTTCTGGTCCTGGACTTCAGGAGAGCAGGTTTCTACTTGTTCGGGTAACTGGTAGGTGGGATCTGGGAGGCAGCTCTGAAGAGTGGAACTGCTGAAGAGAGCTAGCAGGACTTGAAGGACAGTCTCTTCCAAGCACAAGAAAGATCCATCCAGACATTCAGGAAAACAAGTAGATGTGTCAGGAGACCGGCTTGGTGAAGGAGGGAACTCATGACTGAGCTCCAGTGCTAATGGATGTATGTAAGAGGTAGAAGCAAGGACAAGCTTTTCAGGCAGACAGGGATGCCCCCCCAACGCTTTTCTGGGGGGCAGATCTCCATCCATTAACATTTTCAAGATCTGATCTCTTGAGCAACAACCTTGTCTGGATTCACTGTTTAACTCTGCTTGGAGCCAGGGATTAGGCTGAAGCCCTGTGAAGGTTCCTTCCCACCTGAATAATTCTGTCATTCTTTCAATTCAGGGAGTGAGAAAATGCCCAGGCATCGGAGAGAACAGTTTAATAGCAGAAGACACTTTGTATCAGCACTCATTTATCTTTTCCATCTCCGTGTTTATCAGTTGCAACAAGGAATCCAAATTAGTAGCCGTGTTCTTGTGCATAGTCCAGCAGTTAAAATGTTAGCCTCTGATATTAATGTTACATGAATATCCCAACCTTTGAAGGTCTGAGTAAATAGTGAACTATGGGCAGCAGCAACATTTTTGACTGAGGGTTTTGAGAGGATGCAGTTTGGAGATTTCTTGTAGCTGTGAACATCATAGGGTTTCTTATGCAGTGTGTGTCCTGCAGCTGCAAGCTGGCGACCAGTGTCATAGCAAATCCTTTTTAAGTGGTTCTGCTTATGCTAAGTTTGATTAGTGGTAAGTGTATATAGCATGTGTAGTGTTCAAGTGAACAGACAGTATGGATTGCCAACAGTATATTTATCTACTATTTTATTTTAAAAAACCCAACAAAACAATAAACGTTTCATATCCATTGTGCTGATCGCTCAAGTAGTATACTGGGTGGTGGCAACTTCTGCATCTTCATAAGATCTAAAGTGTTCTTGATAAGTTTTACTTCCTAGGGAGTTAGTCTTCAGAAGAACATTGTGTGTGTTTTTTGGATGTCATTAGTGTTTCTTAAAGTGGTGGAGGTTGAGGGAGGGTTGTATGGGAGCAGCGAGCAGTTACAGAAACTGCTGTCTGTCTTTTATGCTGTAGTGTTTTCTTCAAGGTGTAGTCTTGTGTTTTATGTACAACTTAAACTTTTACTCTGGTAGTAGTTCTACTTGTATTTATAAGATAATGCTACAATTAGCCAGTGAGTGAAAAAGGTTTTTTATTTTTATTTTAGTTTTTATTTTTAGTATGCGTGATGGGAGAGAAGGCGCTGTGTCTACTGCTTTAGTTGCTAGAAGTTGTCCTTCTCTCTTCCTGCATCTCGGACTCAGTCAGAGGCACCTGACTGTCCTCTAATTCCGCTTCTACATTCTTTGTTACAGGATGTGGGCCCCTGGATGAAAACACAATGGAAAAGACAATTGAAGTGCTGGAACGGCACTGTCATGAGAACATGAATCATGCTATTGAGACTGAAGAAGGATTGGGTATTGAATATGATGAAGACGTCATCTGTGATGTGTGCCGGTCCCCTGACAGTGAAGATGGGAATGATATGGTGTTTTGTGACAAGTGTAATATCTGTGTCCATCAGGTTAGTGCCTGCAGAAATATTGACGCTGTCCTGTGGTCTTAGTTTACCTTGGAAAGTGTGGAATTTGAATTAAGTGTTACTAATTATTAAATGTTAATTGGAGGGCTTTGTGATTTCCTAGGTATGAAGGGTGGTACAATACTGAGTTGAATTTTTGTACCCTGATAGTTACAGTAGATTAAGTGGCCTAGCATGGTAAATATGTGGCCACCTACAGTCTAATAGGAACATGAAATGTGTTCTTGGGACTTGCAAGTACTTCCTCCGTGACCGTAAACAATTTTTCACCTATTATTAAACCTGTTTTTGAAGATAAACAGGGCAGGAAATGCTGGCTTGCCCTATATGTGAAGAATCTAAAGACCATTTGTTTCAGAGCTGGAGTTTTTGCTCCTTGACTGACTAGTTAATTGGCCAGACATGGGCTGTCCAAATTTAGCCATCTGAAAGCACATGTAGGCACTTTAACAGACTGATCTTTTTTAGAAGGCATAAGCACCTGCAATAACCGTGCTCTCAGTCTGAATGTTGCTCACATTTATAGTGTTTCAAATGTAGCCAAGGTTTTACATTACTGAGCTCAGCCTAGTCAGGCAAGGTATCCTTATAATCAAAAAGGGATATGAATCCTGTGGCTTCTGTGTGTCCTGTTCTGAAAGGGGGTTTTGCTATAAATTGAGAAGAGATGAAGAAGGTTTTTTCTAAGATGTATTTTTGTACCGACTGCAAGTAATAATCGGAAAACATATCTGACTGAAAAAGGACCTGTCATCTGCCTGCTCGCACTGGGCTGGCTTCCAGCCTGGCCGCTTTCCTGATCTCATTCACCGCGTGAAGCAGCCACGTGAGCCTGAGTGCCAGTAACACGGCCAGTGACAGGAATACGGCTGGCAGCTGGGCCGCCTGCTTCAGCCCCTGCTTGTGCCTGTTCAAAAGTAATGATGAATTTGCAGTCGGAGGCTTGTGGTTGCCTGCTGACAGCTGAGCTTGAGCTGATGGCCTGCTGCCTCCTTCCTCCTGACCCTTCGCCATGCCAGACCTGCCTGAAACAAACTGGGGAGCATGTCTGGGCTAGAGCTAATCCTAACAACAACAAAAAAAATCATTCTGTTTTTAATCTACATCAGCCCTGGTTCACCATGTAGCCTCAGCTCTGTTTGTCGTCACACAGTTTGGAGGTGGCTGGTAGGAGGAGTGCGAGAGATTTCCTCCTTCACGATGCCCTCTTGTGCCAGCTCAAACACATCATGAAATTACTGGTTTAGTAGTCTAGGCTTCCTCCACTCATTATTTGGATTAAATTAGAAAATAGTTTCAGTCCATTTCCAACCACCTAAATATGATCTTAGGTGTAATGCCTCTTCTGCATTAGTAATAGAAAGAATGCTGGTGGGAATGTGCCACATAAGAGGAAAAAAAAAATCACTTGTAAAATTTAGATTACAGCTCCCCCTGTTGGGTTTTTACAACAGTCGTCACATCAAAATAGCATTTAGGTTAGTCAGTCTTGGCATTTCCATAATGCGGGATTTAATTCAGGAAAGTCCCCATCTCTACAGGCCTGACATAAATGTGCAATGTTTTATGATACAGCTTCATATTAAATACTGAGATCTTATACTCAGAAGGCTGGGAAGGCAAGTGTGGGAATTTTATACTAGATTTGAATCTGAAAGACTGGTTACAGCTAATGATCCTGTTCTGTTGAGGCTTTCAATGTTACTGTTCCCAGAGACGGTGTTAGGAATGGTGGGATTTACTCTGAAAGCCACCCTTTTGATAAAGCTTTTATTTGGAGCAGTTGAGTGGAATTAGACCTTGGTGGCAGCCAATGGTTTCAGATATACTCAGCTTTAATCTGTGTGTACAGCAGGATATATCTAGATACACACATAGTTAGCCATTAGGAACTGCTAGGAATTTGAATCAGAAAGCAGACTTACTTTTTTCTTTTCTTTTTTCTTTTTGTTTTTAATTCTTAAACCTAGCAAAACTTAAGTTATTTCTCATTTTCTGAGGGGTTAAATGCAATACTCAGGAAATAGGCATAAAACCCAGCACCTCATAATTTCAGTATATGCTGTAATTTTTGTTGCAATATCATATAAATATTTAAAGTAACAAACAATTCACAGAACTGCAACCACAAAGGTAATTTAATGTTGCAGGAAATGGTCTTCAGTCAAACAGCTCACATCCCTTCACATCTAAATAGAATTATGTTAGAGTGCAAAGTCATTAGTGGTAGGAAATTGTGATTTTAAAAAGGATTAGATGCAGAAGCTAATTTAAAGAAATGTCTACGTTTTTTGCTTCAGAAATTTAAAAGTCCCTAAAAGGAAAGACGAAGGTTCTTAACACCAGTGGTGTTGTGCAGTCGCAATGGGTGTGTTCATACCATAAACAAATAATACCAGCACGCATTTTAAAAAGAAACCGGCATGAAAAGACTTTGCTTTAGAGGCTGTTTATGTCTTTGATCACTTGACTCATTTTAAGGTAAAGAAATTAGAGAAGGATTAAATAAAGGCCAAACTGTGCCTTTAGTATTTGAAAGCTTTGGTCCATATGAATAGTAATGCTTGTGTGTGAAATCATATCAGCGCAATGATCTCAATACCTGTTTTCCTCCAAGGCATGCTATGGAATCTTAAAAGTACCCGAAGGGAGCTGGCTGTGTCGCACCTGTGTCCTGGGAATACATCCTCAGTGCCTCTTGTGTCCCAAAAGAGGAGGTGCTATGAAAGCTACCAGGACAGGGACCAAGTGGGCACATGTGAGCTGTGCTCTCTGGATTCCAGAGGTAAAACTTAATTTTTGCCTCTTTCTTTTGTATCATAGACTCTTCTCTGTCTTCCTTCTTCTTGTTCCCTCCTCTGCCTTTTTATGTTCTCATGATTTAAGATATCTCTCTGGCTTAATACCAGACTTTATTCTGATGAGTCTGCACAGTCTGTGAGGACTGGGCGAGAATGCGGCTTATGTTCCATTAATTAATCACTTTGTCCCCTCCATTTACTCAGCAGTCACTTCTTGGTGTCATTATGGTATCTGAGTGACCTGCTAGAAAGGGTTACTGATGCAAGTTCACTGTACAGCTGCAGCTTCGTTGTCTCTCTTATTTTCTGATGAATTTGTGTGCTCAGTTAGGTGTATAATTTGCATGCATACAGCCACCCTTTTTTTTTAAAGACCCCCCCATTGCATTATTTGTGTAGGATGGACTCCAAGATTTGTAGTTAAGGATTTCTGTGAACTAAAATTTTTCTGAATGGTGGGGAGATAAGGCTTTTTCTCTTCTATGTTATATTTTATAAGTAAAGGCTTTTTTGATATATCTGTGCATACATATATGGAAAGTTTAATAATGAAGCTTTACACTTCTTCCTCTATTGTGAATCAAGTTTAGCGTCACATTAGAATTCTGTAAATCGGAAATGTTCACTCATGTATAGGTGGGGTTTGTGTTTAATTTTGTACTTGGAATATTTTTGTTTTCTTTCTGGTAAGATCCACAGATCCATTACAGTGGGTGGTTTAATGCGAGGCGGTAGCCAGATCTGTTGGCACCATGACATCAGGGGGATGGATGCCTTATTAGGTTTGGGACCATCTAAGGAACCTGAAGGTGCACA